TTAGTCGTCATGACTAAGTTTTCGTATAGATGTATCCCGCACGGAGAGAAGTTTGGCATAGTACTTATGCTAGTCAATCCTACATGGCGGGAGAAGTTTTGTGATGACTTATGTTTTGTATCCCGCATAGCGAGAGAAGTTTTGGTAGCTCTTATGCTATCCTTATATTAACCATGGCACAATAGAAATACACCATCATGGTCAATACTAACCAAAGGATAAGAAAAAAATGTAAGCGTGACTTGTAAAAGTACTGCCAATGAAAGACCCCGTTGAGTTCTTGAAGTAAAATAAGGAAAGTGTACTCCTAAATGGATCAAGAAATAACTTTGTTTACATGACATAATCATGTGAATGAAGTAAGTTATAAGTGTCTCCTCGTTCATAGGCTTTCTAAATAGTTCTCAAAATTATGGCAGTAACGTTCATGACATATTTTAAGGGGGAGAATATTAAGATCAATTAAGAAAAAATACTCTTCATTAAGAGTGAGATAAAAATCAATTAAGAAAGATACTCTTCATTAAGAGTGAGATAAAGATCAATTAAGAAAGATACTCTTCATTAAGAGTGAGATAAAGATTAATTAAGATGAAACCGTTGGACGAGTACAACGGTCACAACAATGATACCCCTAAGCAGAGAAATAGCTAAATTCCTTGATTTTTTAAAGTTTCGACAGGAAGATAGCGTAGTCAGCCTTAAAGATGTTAAGGTGGTGCTTAAAGCGCCATACGAGGTTTTGACAGATTAAACCCAAAATAAGATATTTGAAGATACACTATCTTTAGAAAAGATGGAAAGATCTTGGGGAGCATGGTATGTAAAGGTATGTAGAGACCTAAGACTTGAAGACAAGAGGGACTGCGTGCCAACTCCAGTGACTCAGGAGCAACAAGTTTCTCAATACCTATTGATGTTATATGATTAATACAACACATGTTGTTGGCTCTTCGAAGAAGATGAATAATGTTAACAAGGATCTTGTAATACAGAAGCCTGTAGAATCAATTGCCTCTTGGCAATGAAGAGCAACAACAGCCCCATATGAAAGTGTCAGTAGCTGAGGCCCCAGAAGGTCTCAAAGAATTAGTAAACCAATTTTTCTGATGACTATGAAGTCTATGTTAGTAAAGAAATCCAATCAGAGAAGATCCCACCCCATTTGAAGAAGCCATGAGAAGCGTTTACTCGTTTAAATGGCAAGAAGCTATGGAAGTTGAAATGAATTCGATGAATACCAACGATGTTTGGGACTTAGAAGTAATCCCTAATGGAGACAAAACAGTGGACTATTAATGGGTCTACACGACAAAATATGACTCCAAAGGAAATGTAGAAAGATATAAAGTTAAAATGAATTCGATGAATAACAACGATGTTTGGGACTTAGAAGTAATTCCTAATGAAGCCAAAACAGTAGGCTTTTAATGGGTCTATAAGACAAAATGTGACTCCAAAAAGAATGTAGAGAGATATAAAGCATGTCTTGTAGCAAAAGGCTTTAAGCAAAGAGGATGAATAGATTACGATGAGAGTTTTCTCTCCAATCTCATGCAAGGATTATTTAGAATCAAAATGGTGTTATTAGCACATTAAGATTTAGAGTTACATCAGATGGATGTAAAGACGGCATTACTTAACGGGGATTTATATGAAAAATGTTTACATGGCACAACCCAAAAGGTTTTGTCATGGAAAAAAAGAACATATGGGATGCCATCTATAGAAATCCATTTATGGGTTAAAAGTAAGTTTCGAGACATTAGTATTTGAAGTTGACGAAACTATAAGAAAATTTGGGTTTTAAAGAAAATAAGAAGGACAATAGTGTTTATGCGAGGATCAAGAATGGAAAATTCATTTTCCACATCCTGTGAATAGATGACATTCTACTCATTAGTAGTGATGTTAATCTGTCATTGGAGAAGTTTTGTCCTTAAGTTTCAATGTGAATGATCTTGGTGAAGCGTCATTGGTTCTATGAATCGAAATTCACCAAGATAGAAGAAAATGGGGTATTAGGACTATCGCAAAGGCATACTTAGAAAAGATTCTAAAGAAGTAAAATATGCATGCGAGTAAACCTACGGCTGCTCCTATAGTAAATGGTAATAGATTTGGAAATTTTAAGTGTTCCAGAACCGATATGAGATCGATCGATGAATATGGTTCCATATGCTTCAGCTGTTGGAAGCTTGATGTGTATACAAGTACAAGTAAGAACTTACCTAGACGTAGTTTACGTATCCAGGATATTTTGGCAGAAGTTCAGTCAAGATATAAATCACTGGAATGGAGTTGAGAATGTCTTGCAATTTTGTAAAGTATCATAGGCCTCATGCTGAGTTAGAAAGAAGTGCTCTCAAATAGTTGAGGGTACAAAAGTTAAGTCTTGGCGAGATGTGTAGTGAAATCTACAGCAGTTGCTAACACTCGCAGTTGGAGTATTATTATGGAAAAGCTCCAAAGAAATAGTTGTGGTGTCATCAGTGATGCATACCATAGTATAGCTTGACATGAGGCTTAAGGAATAGGCAAAAGGAGGTTAAGGGAATTTGTACCCGGATTTAACAATGGTAGACAACAACAATAACCATTTAAAATAAGTTAACTCCTAAGACAACATGTCAAGTGTGCTGCCAAACACATTGACACTAAGTTATATGTTGTAAAGGAGAAAATCCAGAATCATTTTGAAAGCATTGAGCAAATAAGTACCGAGTAAGTACTTACGGATCTGCTTACCAAAGGCTAACTACCCAGTGCGTTCAGAGAACACATAGTTGACATGGGTTTATGGAAAAGCCTATGATTTCTAGATACTAAGGGCCTAGTTGAGTATCTGTTTCAAAATAGAGAGGTGCATTGTAGCTGTTAAGTCTAATGGCAACTGACCGTGATGATGAGGCACGCTTTATGTATTCATCTATGATGGAATGAAAACAAGATAAAGTAAGTAAGTTAAGTTTAAGTCATAAGGTGAGATCAAGGAGGAGAATGTTAGGATTGATCTCATCTGACTTAGTCCAACGACTGAGTCGGACCCTTTGACCGCGTCCTGATCGGGGACACACTACCGACCACTGGTTGGCGGCCCCCTATCACACAGTGCTATAAGAGAGAGATGGGGACCGGGGCGCTAGACATGAGGTTCGACGCCGCCACTGACCCCACCAAAGTAACCCTAGAAGGCCCCTTCGATCATGGGCAGCACTGCAAGTGACGGGAAGCCCCGTCGGCAGCGCCCCGTCCTCTGGACTCTACCGTGCCTCCTCTATCTCCTCTGCCAACCCCAAAGGTATGGGTCTCTCTCTCTCTTTCTCTGTCTCCGTCTCCCGATTCATGTTCAAGATTGTTTTTTGAATCAACTAGTGCTGGATTCACCCTCTAATCTACACCTAGATCATCCTAAGAAGCTATCAACATGATCAAACATATCAGAGCGGCGATCTGAGAAATAAAATATACCTTGCTTTTATGAAGGCCTGAACTGTAAACTCAAGACATGATCAATCAACCAAATCCAGCTATGCTGAAAAACAATATTGCTTTACACTAGAGAAACAATTGTACAACAAGTATTTCTCCAACAGAAAACTATTTCTAACTGTCTCCCAGGACTGATAGAACCCAAAATCGGAAAGGGCGCTATGGAAACCTAAACCAATATAGTTAATCCACTCCAGATTGTAGGATAGAAAAGCATAGCCACTATAATTTTTGTGTTTGTATATGAAAGATTCACTCATCCACATGCACCAGAGCAACTGAGATAAACCAATATCAACAATTTTCTTTCTGAATCATACCATTCACCACGAGCAAAAATGAAAATTTTCTATCTCGAAATACCGGCACCAATTTACTCATCAAATTATTTCAGCATCAAGCAGTCGGATTTGCATCTAGAATCTAGAAATAACTAAAGCACGGGAAGCAATAGGGATAGAGAAGCAGCCGAGCCGACTTGTTCAGCGACCAAGAAGTCGACTCACCTCCGTGCGGGCTCTCTGGAGTGGTAGGATCGATCGGACAGTGGGCACAACTAGCAGCGGAGGTGTGGGCGTAGGAGGGCCTTGGGCTTCTTCTTCTTCTTCTTGCTATTGGAGGACGAGGAGGGCTTTTCTTGGGCTGCCTTGCAGCGCTGAGAGACCTTGGCGGGCTTGGCGGTGGAGAGGGCACAAGGCCACGAGAGATGGATCTCAGCAACAGATGGAGATGAGATGGGGCTCGATGAATCGCTGTCGCCGCCGCCCCGACTCCTCAACCCGCGCCGCCGCCGATTCCTAAACCCGCGCCGCCGCCGCCTCTCAGCTCCTGAGGACCCGCCCAGCCCCTCGACGGGACTCTGCGAGGGAGACGCAAAGGGCAGAATCCGTTTCCAGGATCCTCTTCCAACGATCCTTCCACCGACTCGGCCCATGGCAACAGCTCAGCCCTTTTACGGGCCAATCCAATCCAACTCGACCCTCTTGTATACATGGCCCATTGACAATCCATAAAAGTAGGCCCGTGAGTTGGGGGCCCTTTCAGCCCTTGGGTTTACACGATCCATTCCCAGTCGTAGCCCCACTCCTCCCTCACGACTTTCCCGTCTTGACATCTCCACACCCCGACTGGTCGGGCTAGGCCGGCCTGATCCGTGCCTGGACCGAAGGTTAGGCCCGTGGCCCTAAGAGACACAACATGACGTGCCGGCCTGAGCCCCATCGGGCCGTGCCGCATGGACCCGTGCCATGTTGGGCCGGGCCGGGCCGGCCCTTGGCCATCTATACTCGGGATTCGGAAGAATACCGCCCCGGCACGTTGTCCTTGACCATCCCGGCACGCGGTCCAGCGGCATTCTGGTTCCCCGGAGCCAGCGGCAAGGCACCTCTACGGCGACTGGCGTCAAGAAAGGGGAACGGACGCCTCGACCTAACAAGCCCCACCAACCCTCCTCTGTTCCTACGTTCCTCGGTTCCTCCTCCCCGTCCTTCCCCCCACGCCGCGGCGCGATGATACAGCTCCTCTTCACGCTGCTAGCGGCGGAGGGCGCCGTGGCGGCGACACTACTCTTCAAGACGCCGCTGCGGAGGCTGTCCGTGCTCGCGCTCGACCGCCTCAAGCAGGGCCGCGGGCCCGTCATGGTGCGCACCATCGCGGCCACCGTGCTTGTCGTGCTCGCATCCAGCCTCCACAGCATGGCCAAGATCCGCGGCCACACCGAGGGGGAGCTCGACGGCGCCGGGGTCGTGGGGCTCACTCCCACCGACCAGGTCCTTCTTGCGCGACACCTCCTCGAGGCCTCGCTCATGGGTACGCACGCGAGCGTCTCTGTAATCTTGGTTGAATTCATTCACCCTCCTTTCTCTCTCTAATCAATTTGTTCGATCGTCCTGATGCCGTGTGCCGGTGGTTGTGAACTTAAAATGTCAGAGAGTCCATGTGTAAGGAGGGAAATTTCAGAATTTGACACCAATTTCGCGTGCCTCACCTATTAAGAGACTTAATTCGCACGCCTTTCATTAAATTATTTGTCACCAGGCACACGAACTCTTTCAGTTTAGGGGACTTTCTTATTTATATGTCTATTTTATTTTTCTTTTTTTAATTCTTTCTTATTTACTACCCCCATCTAAATGGATATCTTTGCCCGTAATCTTCTATCTCCATCCATGCATAAAAAAGAATTGCCCTGGGGAATTCGCGAATTCGCCGATTGCTTGCTGCCAAAGAATTGCCCCGGGGAATTCGCTGATTGCTTACTGCCGGAATTCGTGTTCACTGTGAAGGCATGCAAATTGAGTCCCTTATTCAGTGAGGCACGTGTACTTAGTGTCAAATCAAATTCTGGAATTTATGAGGATTAGGAGAACGGACAAACATATCCCTCTGTTATTAATGTACAAAGGAGTGCGGAACTCAAATCTGATTCATGGGTGTCATGGAGACGCGAGAATTAGTTTCTACTAGGTACCAGGATGATGGGTTTAGTACCTTAGTTTGCACTCTGTGATAGTGAGTTGAGCTCAGGTTAAAGCCTCTTCTATTTAATTTCGTCCCCTGTCTGATAAGGAGTTTGCTCCATGAACTTTTATGATTCAGTTTTATAGGAATTTGAATTTTAATCCAAACAGTCCATATTATGAAAACACATGTCTCGTCATCATGAAGCACCTATGAAATAGGTCTGTCACATTTACTGTGCTGTGTGAACTAATAACTGACCTCAGGGTTGATACCTGGTTGGCTCCAGTAACTTATAGGACTTGGTTCCACTTCAACTAACTATAGGATTTCAGTTTGGAACCTCCTATCCAAACAGGTCCTCGGGATGAAAAATATGTATCACAGCATCTCTAGGCACCAATGAACTGAGGCTGTCTCATTTATCAGCAACGTTTTCATTCATGAAATACTATGCTCTATATAACTTTAATACTATGTTATCTTGTTCTGTATCTTAGTGTGCTTTCATAACATAAATCATTTTGTTCTAGAGACCTCTGTATCATGCAAAGTCAAACATTGCAGAAATTAAAATTCTGAAGAGTTTCACATAGAGTATATTAAAAAAAAATGGTTTCATAAATAATGGAATAAAATTTGGGTTTGCCCAGTTGCCTTTCACTTAAGGTGTTAATAATAATTTCTTATTCCAGTATGGGTGTATAAACAATTGACAGAAGCGTTATTTGGCATGGAAAGTTTTTGATGGCACAGTTCCCTTTTTCTGCCATCGAATTCAATATTGAGCGTGTGGCAGATCGTTTGAACATGTCAAGAAATACAAAAATAAGTAACCTTCTTCCTGTTGTGCCCTTATGTTCTCCTAACTGCACTCTGTATCTTCAGTTGTGGCTTAATTATAGAGATACAAATGATCTTACGGATGTTCATAGAGACCTCATCTTTGGTTAGAGCAGAAAATGGACAAAAATTCTCTCAGAATATGGTTGCGTTGATTATTTGTTTATGAATCCTAAATGGTGTCTTCTTCCCACATCCATTTCTTATTTGGTGATGCAGATCATTTGTGTTCTTAATTTTATAGTTGTTTGTTGTTCAGTTGAGATCGATCCTGATTCCTGAGTATGCGTAAACATAGCTTCTTTGTTTGACATCCAAAGACTAAGGGTCCTAGTATGGTTGGATCCCAAGCCCTACAAAAATTGTAGAAGAGACTGTGGAGGTTCAAAATTATTTTACATATCATTATGGCATTATTTCATACAACTGTTTTTGTGCTAACTTTAGAATTAATGAGTTTGGAAAGTTTTTGGGTTACCTTTCCTTGATATTTGCGTCATATGTAGTTTTTTATCATCTTTAGGTTTGTTGATTTTTTTTTCATATTTCACTCAGTAGCCATTTAGAGATTAAGTTGGTATGTGCTCTCATATCGCGAATGGGCCTCAAGTTGAGTTGGTTAGGTGGCTCTAGTAGCACTTCTCATGTCCTGGTTTGGCTCCCTATGGCAGCAAAATTCAGGCTGTGGTTAAAAAAAAAAATCCCATGCCAAAGCATAGGTTTAAGCACGGACCTAGGTCGTTGGTCGCACTCACAAGGGTTATGGTGTCGCTATGTAAGGGTGGGCCAGGGGTTCGGGGTTTTTTTCGACCTGCGTGAGAAGGTCTTCCCTATCACACAATGCTCGGGGGTTGTCTTACCACCGCAAGACTAGTTTTTTTGTGCTCTCATATATGCTAACTTATTTAACACTGTAAAGACAGAAGTAGCGTGGTCAAGTAAAAAACTAAGGTAAAGGTATCTTCAATGAATCAGTCAAATAAAGACTTTATTCAATCTATGTACTTCCTCATGTACTTAATGCTTTGCTCCTGGAAAATTTGCAAGTTTGTCTTGTGATTTTCTCGCTTTCTTGATCATTTAGATCGCCTAGTTTGTCTAATTCAGATTAAAGTTTTGGGATACGTACTGCCTTTCAATATGTCACAATGAAAAAAAAATCACAGCAAAGTATTTGATGTTCTATTACACCATTTGTGCAGTTTCGCAAGCAATTTTTATTCACAACATTACATTCTTTCAGGATACTCCTTATTCCTTGCTTTAGTCATTGATCGGCTGCACAACTATGTCAAAGAAATTCGAAGGCTCAAGAAGAAATTGGAAGCTGTGTCAAAAGAGAATAAGACAATGCTAGAGGAAGCAACACATGGAAAGCCAGAAGAGAGCAAGCCTGACCAGAAAGACATTTTCGATGCCAAGGATAATTAAGTATGACACGCGCTCAAGGTAAATCTACTCTTGGCTATGTCATATATAAATGTAATTGTGATGACAGGTGAACTTACTCGTTTGATTCTGCATCCACAGAGACTCCTGCCATCACTGCTTATGTCTGAATAGGATGCCGGCCACTGATAATCTCCCATTTGAGAATTAGCATTTGTACATGAATGCTCGGTTACAACGTGCTGAATCTCTTACAGCAGGCATCTGGCCGGCCTAGCGCTGGGTGATGCCCATCTGTAAATACATGATGCTACTGCTTGAAACTATATGTTAGTCGTGTCCTCGTGTGGCCAGATTTCATAATGCTACCATGTCGGTATTCTCAGTATCCAATGTAACGCTGGTACTGTGAGGACTAAAGACTGAAGATTGTGTTTCTGCCTGAGCAATGCATTTCTGTGTAACACACATGGGCCTCTATCGGCTGGTCTTGCAATGTGAAGTGCCACCCTGACCAAGCCCCTGGCACCTGTGTTTGTTTTATATATGGTTCCGAGCCCGTATTCATTAAGAGGAAGTATGTTCAATATAAAGTTAACGTATTCATTAATAGGAAGTCTATCCTAAAGTCATGTCACCATGGTACAAAATGAGAGCCCAGGGCAGCCAGGCAAGACAATGGACCATAAATTAGGTTTACTGAAACTTGTGTTCTCGCATGAGAGAATTCGGGGCATTGGTGGCTCATAGACACCTATATCCATGTACTTTTGCGAAACGCACTGTACCTTTGAGAACAAACCTGCAGTCTAGAGTCTACCCAATTGCCCCGCTCCCGCACAGGCAGAGGCGCGCAGCTGGATCTTTGGGGAGGTGGTGTTCGGCCGTGGCGGGCGTGGCCATGTCCTGCCACTTGTTGGTCTCACCTGTTCAACCTGAGTAGTGGCTGCGGGAATCCCAGTGATCTGGCCTCCCTCACACCAACATGGCCGTCGTCATTGGTCCTCACCCTCATGCCTCATCCACACCTCAAGCCAGCCACCGCTCCGTGCGTTGACCTTAAGCCTAGAGTCTCCTTCGGGCTAACGAGTTTGCCATTTCTGTAGTGGTGCCGACTGGATGTGGATGCGGTGATGTGCGCGAGCTCGCAGGTACTAGTCCCACCTTTAGCATTGCTTGGTATGTTTTGCTTCTATGCTGCAATGCTATGGCTAATGTTGTGGTCCTCTTAAGTCTTCACTAGGGATAATGATGGGCCAGGGTTGCTGCTAAGCATATTACTATAGACTTCAAGTAATGCATATACTCCTAAGAAAGCTTCTGCAACTGCTCAGCCATTGATTCACATTTCTTCTACAATCAATTTTAGAGCTCTATGCACAACTGCAATTTTTTTTTCCAATAGATTGTTTTGCTTTTATGGTGCAATGCTATGGCAATATTCTGGTCCTCTTAGGTCTTATATGGGGATAATGATGGTCCAGTGGTGCTGTTAAGGATATGGCTATGAACTTCAAGTAATGCATATATTCTTAAGAAAGCTTTCGCAACTGCTCAGCCATGGATTCACATTTCACCCTAAATCATAGGGATTTTAATTGTTTCATGTGGCTTAGAGGAACTGTTTAGTTTTCTTGTGAACAACAAAGAGGATATTCCTTATGGGTAGTTGATATTCACCTTTTGTAACTGTTGTTGCAATGGTTGATTTTGGTATTTATGTTGGGGACTGTTGTACATTAGTGAAACTTATGTACTCATCCTGTTGCAAGAATAGTTAGTTAACTAATACTTTAGTTAGAAAGGTGCCTCATGTGTTAATGGTAGGTGTTTATGCATCCGAATGACTAAGGCAAAAGGTCTATGATGTGCTACCAAGGGCTTTTTCAGTTCGCAACAAAAATCACCTTGATAAATGATAAATAGAAAGCACAAGAAGAGATAAATTCACAGAAGGCCACAATAATTGTCAACATGATAGCACCAACCACAGTAATTGCCGACGACCGGAGATTGGGAGGGGGACGGGGACTCCGGCGACGGAGCCGCTCCCACAGAAAAGAGTGTCACAGGTGGGGCGCACTTTGGGCTCGCTGGGGTCTGCTGGCCCCATACCATGCCACCTTCATTGGATGAGGCTCTGTGGAGTCGTGACCAATTGCGGTCGGTGAATATTCAGGAGATAATTCAACCCGGGAAAGTGGTGCCCTCGGGAGAGAATTCCAGGCCGGAGAAGGGAGTAGACTCAGGTTCGTCGGCTCGCGGCGAATTAGTAGCTGGTTCCTCTTCTAGGATCGATTCTGCTTGGGACATCGTTCATGGAGTCTTTGCTTTTTCACTGGGCGAGGGATAAGAGAGTTGGATCCCTTGCCCTCGATTGCTCAGAGCAACAGATTGGGTAAGGGCGCCCATCGTCGCTTGACCATGGCGCTGGAGGATTCGATGCTTGGATTACAGATCCCACAGGTTATTGTCTAACTACCAAGGGAGGTAGGCAAATTGCTCGGGAGCTCTTAACTAAAGACATTAAGCAACATTTGTTTGGGGATGACCCTGTGCTCAAGGAGCTTGCTGTTGCGTGTGATCGGTTGGAGGTCTCTATGGATAGAATGGCTCAAAGGGGGGTTGAATCTACCATAGTTGAGCAGGAGCTTGGAGAGGAATCTGGTCAGGCGCGGGAGGTAGAAGACGGTTACGAATTTGGTCTGGCCCAGGATGAGAGATTTGGACATTCCTAGAAGCCCTGTTGTACCGGGCCGCATTGGATTTGGATACCCAAGGGTTGTGTGGACCTGAGCAAAGGCTATCCTGCCAGTTTGGAAGACATCTGTAGATGCGGCCACTCTGCTCGTAGGGTTAAGGTTCTTCTTGATCTTCCTCCATTGTCCAAATCCTTCGCGTGCGTCGTGTCAGAAGGGGAGATGGCGAACCGAGATCAGCCACGGCCAGTGGGGAAACACCGGCAAGAGGAGTGGATGGATGAAGATGACCTATTAGGCAGAGATCTATACCAGGAACAAGATCTGAGGCGGCAGTTGCAACGGGGGAATCGGTTCCAAGGGGATCCAGATCGCCTAGGCTACAAAGGGAGAAGAACTAAGGGCTATGGTGGCCATGGTGTGGAACCAGGTGTCAGGGAGAGTGAAAGAGGTGCGGGCAACAGAGCCTACAACCAAGGGAGGTTGGAGGCTGGCCGCAGTTACAATCAGCAAAGAGGTTGGCATCAAATCAACAAGGAAGCTCTTCTCAGCAAGGGAACTGGAACCGCAATGAGCGTCGTCAGGGACAAGAGAGTTGGAGAGAAAGTGCTTGGGACAAGGGAGTTGCCGTCACCAATGAAGGTATGAAATCCAATATGCCTGATCTCAAGTGCTTTCGTTGCTTAGGCTTGGGTCATCATCAGTATGAGTGCACAAATGAGCTAGTTTGTTACAAACATAAAGATAAAGGTCATATGGCTATTGACTGCAAATTTGCTAGTAAAAAGCTGATGATGTATGGATTTGGTATTCCGGGGCAAGGTTTTTATGCTTTTGATTTACCTGAGGCAAAGGGTAAAATTAATCAGGCCACCATATTGATTACTGTCTTGGAAGGTGAAGCCAATGAGCAGAAATTGGATCAGGAACTTGTCGGTGCGGGACCCACAGGATACCCCGCAAGGAAGAGAGAAGATCTAGTCTAACTAGGATTCTCCCCATGTAATCTTAGTAGTAGTATTATTCTGTAATCCTACTAGGAACTCTCATTGTAAACCGATTAGGATTCTGACCTCCTGACTATATAAAGAAGGGCAGGATCCTAGAGATCAGGACTTCTACAACGCAACAATACACAATCAATACAATGCAGAGGCTAACGTCAACTGGACGTAGGGCTATTACTCGATCAACGATCGAGGGCCCGAACCAGGATAAACCGACTGTCTCCTACGTTCACCATCGAGTTTCGCATAAGCCGAAGCCCGAACATACTGTCCCGGGTAACCCCGTGGCAGGCTATCAGTGGTAAAACATCGACAGCTGGCGCGCCAGGTAGGGGATTTCAGTGAATTTGCATCCAAGAGCTCGATGGATCTCGACAGCATGATCTTCTCGATGGGATCAACTTTCATCTTCGGCTCATGGATTTGCGCGGCGGACAACAATGGCAAGCTCCAAAGCCATCTCCTCGAAGATTCGAATCACCATGAAGACTATTCTATTTCGACGACTACGACAGATCAAATCTCCGGAAGATTCGCGCAGCTCATGATGTCCGATTCAACTCAGGTTTCGCGGCTTTGCGCATCCGACTCGAACTTAGGCTCCGCATTCGAGATAGAGTCTTATCCGAGTTCTTTCGGGAAACCGAGTTCTTTTCTGGTGGGGCTTAAGAACGCGGCCCTGACCTATCAAGAATACAACTCGGAGTACACGCATAATCTTTTCAAGAAGTCGGATCCTTTTTCGCTCGAATTCCACAACATGGCAACATCTTATCAGACAAGGCCCGGAGGATTCCTCGATACGGTGCTTAGAATGCCACTGAAGGGAGCTCAGGAAGGTCTCGTACTAACTATAACATCTCAAGACTGCATCGTCCACTGGCCGGGCTCTGTTCCTGAGGATAGCAGTACCCGACTGGTCGAGACGACGACAACGACAATTCTACCCTACCAAGAAGGAGACTCGATCTGTGACCTCGAGGCCTCTACTAAAGTTATCAGCAACTCCGACAGTGTGGAAACTAACGCCAATAATAGAACAGTTCACGCACGGGAAGTACTCATGGTTCGCCGTCCTCGATCACCATTGGTCGCCCTAGAAGCGCCCGATGTCAGGTCATCGGATGAATCAGAATCCAACATATCACCCTTTGCCCAGGGCTATGATGGTGAGACCAAGAATCAGAAACAAGCTAGAGAAAGAAAAAACAAGTTGAAGCAAGGACGCCAACACCGTGCTAGGTAGCGCAAGGAAGCTTGGATCAGATATGAGTCAGAGTTGGCCGAGTACGACAGAAGAAAATCACAATGAGAAGTCGAAGAAAGACGCATGGCA